GAATAGCAAGGTTACAAAAATGCAAAAAGCTAAGAAAATACCTAAGGAGAAAAAGAAAAATGCTGTGAAAAGCGAAGAGAAAGCCACTCTAAATGTCGTGTGAATTGCGCTCTAAATCTACGTGTGCTTTTAAAGAATTTTCAACGTAACATCTTTTGAAATAGAAGTACCTCTCATCTTCATCCGGTGACCTTTGACCGACATGGCACTCAGTGCAGTCATTAACAGGAACATTATCAACTACAATACCAACACTGCTATCTTCATCGCTTGAAAGTTCAGTGATATTGCTCATGCCTCTAACAAAAACGAAACACGAACAAAATAAAACGACAGCCTACCATGCCGAGTGGGGGTATTTTTCATACCGTGCAATCAGCCAAATCTGCTGCATATCCCAAAAGATCACCCAGCATGCCAGCAACGCTCATGTATTCTCATGCACCCAGCGATAATATACATATATGGTGTAATTATTCCTTCCGCATTTACTGGCAGCTTCGATTATTGTGTACATCGCGGAAGCGACTTACTGTGGAACATCAGGACTGGCACACCAGGACGAAAGCGCCAAGCTTCATTTGTGGACGTTTATCAAACCGGCAGCTATATATTTGATTGGGTACAATAAATTATATTCACAATAGAAATCGTTGGAAAGGCATTAATTGCCCCTAACCTTGGCGCCTTGGCTACTAGTGGGAGGGTACTAGAAATGATGTGAACAAACAGAATAAATAACGCAGTTACAACGCATAATAATTTATTGCACTTTATACGGTTCCTTGGCGTTTTCGTACGTACGGTTGACCGATGGCAGACGGATCATTTTGGAAATTATCGGAGTTTGGTGCTGCAGCGCGAACGCTTAACGTAATCCGTGCGTTGTTAACTATATATTTAGTACTGCTACTGCAGAAATTTTTGCTGCTTTTTGGAACCGTTGAGCAATAATTTTTTAATTGGCAGGAAAACTCAGAATTTCGAAGATGTCAGAAGGTACAATATAATTTATAGGCCTAACAAAACTTTGATCCGTTACGTAAGTGCATCGTGTTTGTGTTTTCTGTTCTGCAGGTTTCAGATTTCTTCAATACACACCGCGGAAGAGTGGGAACGCATTGCATATCATATTCTTCACACTCACAGTGAGCATCGTGGCTTTCCCTGGATCGTGCTTCGTGGCATCGTAATGATAGACAATTTTTAAAGATAAGACCCGAAAACGCAATTCATGAGCGCGCTGGCAGGATTTTGGTTTTGCTTAGTTACTTTGATCACGATATGGTGATTGTACAATAATTAACTCATTTCCATTCTACCGCGTTTCCGCGAAAAATTATTATGAATAAGTATGTACTATGTTCATTCTAACAATTAACGGATCATGCACACGTCCATCGTAATCAGTTATTCAAACCTTGAACAGTGATCCTATTCATCGGCTTACTTTCGCATTTTATAATAGTTTTTCGTTTGCCGTGCACAACATAAATTTCCTTTTATCTTTCCTAAGTAACCTAGTGGCTTTAAGAATTGCGCAGTGGTGCGCTGGGCGTTTTCGTCAAATTTTAGCCACCGATCTTACGGTTGAAAGTTTGACATTTCCTACATAAATGTGATTTAATCCAATAGAGCATGTGCTCTGTACGCCCTTTCTCGCACTTCCGGCATAGTGGCCGCTGGAGCTGTTCTGTAATGACTGCCATAGTCTGGAGTCGTTCAACCAGGTTGCAGTATTGCGCAAATGCAGTATCGTGAATGTCGACGTCACAGGGGACACCAAATCTTTATGTGGACCGCAACCACATAGTGGACAATACGGAATCGACACAGACGGCTTCCTTCTTTTACCCTACGCACCATGTTTGTGGCGTTCGAGTATTGTAAATCTGGCAGCAAGCGCCTTCAGCGCACGAGATAATAGATGGATAAAACTCGAACCTACTATCCATGCTGAGCATAAATGAATTTCGATGCATTTCGATCGGCATTTTGACAATTCGGTACCATACCTTTATTCCGCGCTGGAGAAAGAACACTCGTACACCTTTACCTTTTTGGCGCAACTACATCAGCTGTTATCCTGCCACCTTCCACAAGACAATTAGGATTTTTCTTAGTAAAATATCTGGGGTGGACCAGCAAACCACAAGTTCGTATGTTGCTAGCCGCCCTCTATTAGACCATCTCTTCTGCTAAGTGTGGGTTTATTTCCGAAAGCAAAGCCTAAGGAAGTCGACATGAATGTGATGCATTTCTGCATGGCATTAATGGGGAATTTTCTACATTCATGAATTTCCTTGCGGCATGCAAGGATTTAATTCCATTACTCCAGCATGCATCTATATATCTTTACCAACGGCAAGTTTGGATTATAAAATTCGTCATGCAGTCCATGACAGATTATAGTAAACCCGGGAAACGGCCATTGATGAGTGAAATGCCATTTCACTGAATGGCAAAATCACCCCCCCGGGAAATATTCACCCAGGGCCCCCCCTGAAAAATGTTAAAATTAATAAAAAAATAAAATGTATTTTAATATGTTTTAGAATTTTATACGATAAACAGAAATAAAAATTTATAAAAATATACGTGTACATAGGCGCTCAGTTTCTCGTCCGCTTTCCATTGCTGACTGATTCCAGCGTGTCGCCAATGTCAACCGCCATCGGTGCTCCACACCGTTTTTCCTGCGTTTCCCGCTGCTGACCGACTTTGTTCAGCACACATATCAGCTAAAATAAAATGCAACAAGTGAACTGGCTCTTCAACCTTCATTTTTAGCGCAATCAAAAACTCTGGAGTTAGTCTCTGTGTAGCATTGACGTTTTGTTTTTCGTACTTAGGTTTATTTGTATATGTAATTTGTTTGGCAAGTGAGATACTTTTCCATCTGATTAACCATTCAAACCTGGTACGAAATCAAGGCCTGAAGAGCAACGATTTTTGCAACTGGATCAAGATTGTCCGCGAGCCCGTCTACGCTTCGCAGTAGAATTTATCGCTTTCCATCAGTACGACCGCGTCTACTTCGTACGATTCTTGGAGATTTAGGTACGGAATATGTATGATAGGCTTTAATGTGCCCCTGCAACCTACCGTCAAGTGCAGTATTGGAGCGATGAGTGTGCGATCTCAGAGACTGCATCAGAGGCAGTGCGGATAAACCATCCATCAGTAATGTCTGTGAGCAGTGTTAAGGTAGTTGGGGTAGAACCTTCCACCCCCCGAATATTTTGCCTCATTCTGGGCTGGCATATGACACGCACTAGGAGGAACATGTGGGCCTATGTCTTCATGCTACGAGGGCGGCGGTGGTGTACTGCCTGGGGCAGCAGCGGTTCAATGCCAGTGAGGGGCAGTGTGTAAGGTGCTGTTTCAGGGGCATCATGTCAGGGGTTGTTCAAGGGAAGGGCAGCGTATCGGCTGTGACTAAGGGCAGCACAGTGGCACTGCTAAGTTTCACGCTTGGGGTAGTTTCTGGACCGCCTATCGTAACTTGTTCGTGCTTTGCCTGTTGGTAAACCAAGCTTACAACTTTTGACAAGAATTTTATTTTTTGAATTTTATTGTTGAGTTGCGGATGTGATTAATTTTAAAGGCTTGCCGTTTGTCGGACAGCAGAGATCATATGGAGTTTCAGGCCATATATAATGCCGAGTTTCGTTGAAAAATAATATTTGTCATGTATTGTCATGTGTAGGAATCGTATCTTTATTGTATCGTAATGGTCAGGAAAACAACTCAAAGGAAACTGAGGAATCGTAACTAGAGACCCGGGAAAACACAAGAGAAGTTGCTAAGAAGACAAGGACAAAGGACAGAAATAGGAAAGTATTAGAAGGACAATAAACACGTGAACTCAGTATACTACAATATTGGCAATCAGAAAATGATTTATTAATTAAAATGAAATAAAAATCAATTTATATAATGGGCTCTGTGGGTACAAGATTATTACTTGTATTTTGGTTATTACTGCGGATGTATGAGATAGTTGTAGCCCATTAGTTATCGTAAGCTAGAAATTTCTGCAAATATACTGTTTTTACTTAACATCACTCCATTTTGAAGAAGTCATTGCAAACTATTACGTATATCCGTGATTGGTAAGAGGGTTTCGTTCTCTTGAGAAAGTCGCTGAAGCAATAACAAACACTGCCTTGATAACTAGCAAGGCATGGCAGCGTTTATTTATTGGTGAACGTCTGTCGACTACCAGGCTTTGTTTGTGCTGACTAAGAAATAGTGTAAGGTTGCGAACCCGCTCTCATCGTTTGCTGTCCCTTGCGTCCGCTGCGCTCCGGATTTTTCATGTAATGTGTACAGTTACACTACTAATTTATTTGGCCATAGGATCATATTGCCAGTTTGACACAAGCGTGATTCATCTGTAAAAAACTACAACTCAATCTAGCAAATTGTTTTGGATTTTCGAATGCCTGTCTTGTTAAGTGAACGATATTGCAGAGCGTCGGAAATGTACCACTGTCATAGAATGGCAACCTAAGAAAAGATAAATCTCAGATTTTAGCATAACGGTAGCCAATGACATTAGCTCAAAAATTCTTTTGTTCTGTGAGCCTTTGTCGCTATTTTCGTAAGTTTTTTCAGGAAATGAGTGAGATGTTTTGGGAATTTATAATAATATTAATTTTTACTGATTATAGAGCGGTATAACGATCTGGTAAGCGCAAAGTTTAACTTCATTTAATAATTGTATGTGGATTTCAGTAGTCATCCTCTGTCGCCATCTTTCCGCTCTTCGGTGCCTTGCTCTCCACTGCCTTCCGCAGTACCGCGCCGTCCCACCGCTCCACTTTGTCGTCCTCTCCGCCGTACAGCGCCGTTTGCTCTACTGCCGCGCTTAAAGTCTCAGCAATGCCAGCGCGAAAACGAGGGAGCGCTAAGGCAAGATGTTGCCTTGGGTAGTTATATTTTATGTGAGACTGAGTTGTTGTGCTTTACAGGCTTCGAAAGTAAACAATCAACCAAGTGGCTCGCAGATTGATATTGCTAATGTAGACCCAAAAGTGCCGTGGCCAGGCAAGGCCCTTTACCAGTTTGAAGTGCCAAACGAGGGACGCTTTATAATGATGCAGTGGGCCAACATGGCAGTTGCAGAGCGAGACTATGCAACCACTGGCAAGATGCCGGAATTTCGGGAGAACGTTAAGCTGAAGAAGAAGCGTGAGTAACTTAGCGCACAGAACGGGTGACATAAATAATATGTCCTTTCTCTATCATTATTTTGATTGTGATTACATTTTTTAGAATTCGTGAAACATCATATGGATGTGGTAAAGAAAGTCAACAAAAAAATCATGAGGAAACGGCATAGCGACAAGGTTTTCGTATGCCCGTACTGCCGAGAAATGACCGGCCGGAAGGACAACGTGCGCGTCCATATGCATGGAAGTGAAAAACGCCGTCAGCGTCCGTGTGGTTCACGGCCGAAGAATGCATCTAAAATAGATGCGCCACTATTGCTTCTAGACTATGCGCCGCCGACTGTGGATGAATTTGTCGAGGAAGTGAGTGAAGAAGACATTCTGTGCACCGAAGAAATTGGAGAGAATGGGGATCTGATTGAGGGTAATGTCGAGCAAGAGCAAGAGCAAGAGCAAGAGCAAGAGCAAGAGCAAGAAGGTGCAGAAGGGCAGGAGGATGATGACGATATGGAATCGGAGGATGCAGAGTAACAAGGTAAATCTACTGTAAAAAATATTTTTTAATTTGCAGTTTAACTGATTTAAGTTTTATTTGTGGTTTAATACGAATATTATTACTGCGTTTTGGAATTGTGATTTTATTGTTGTACCAATAATTTCGTTATAATATTGCAGGGACTTGTGGATGGATGATGGCGTGTTGGAGGCGAATGTGTTCAGGCAGTAGTATTGTTCTGTAGTATTATTTTTTATGATCTTTTGTTGTTGATTTGGTACTCTGTAGCATGTAAATTTGGCCTTTTCCAGCGATGCTATCTCATTAGGATGTGCTATTTCCTGCCAGTATGCATTATTAAAACTGCCAGTATGTTTCTAGACTGAAAAGCGCACTTCTATTTTTTGTTACGATCGGATGGATTGTTGCTGTTTTCGGCATCTTGTACGTCAGCTCTCATGAAATTTGAAAAAAAATTTACATTTCACTCAGCACAAAGTGCTCCTGCAATATAAATGTGCTCCTGCAGTATAATATGCTCGTACAAGATCATGTGCTCCTGCAATATAAATGTGCTCCTGCACTATAATATGCTCGTACAATATCATGTGCTCCTGCAATATAAATGTGCTCCTGCACTATAATATGCTCGTACAATATAATGTGCTCCTGCAATATAAATGTGCTCCTGCACTATAATATGCTCGTACAATATAATGTGCTCCTGCAATATAAATGTGCTCCTGTAGTATAATATGCTCGTACAAGATCATGTGCTCCTGCAATATAAATGTGCTCCTGCAGTATAATATGCTCGTACAATATAATGTGCTCCTGCAATATAAATGTGCTCCTGCAGTATAATATGCTCGTACAACATAATGTGCTCCTGCAATATAAATGTGCTCCTGCAGTATAATGTTCTCGTACAATATAATGTGCTCCTGCAATATAAATGTGCTCCTGCAGTATAATATGCTCGTACAATATAATGTGCTTCTGCAATATAAATGTGCTCCTGCACTATAGTATGCTCGTACAATATAATGTGCTCCTGCAATATAAATGTGCTCCTGCAGTATAATATGCTCGTACAAGATCATGTGCTCCTGCAATATAAATGTGCTCCTGCACTATAATATGCTCGTACAATATGATGTGCTCCTGTAATATAAATGTGCTCCTGTAGTATAGGGTGATATGCCCACTCCTTTCATCTGATCTAATAATAATTCTACCTCGCATTGCATTTCGTTACCCAATGTGCGCGCTTTCTACATTACCACCACATTAGCATACACAACCGACCGGTCTAGCCGTGCCGTGAACTTTCGTTATTTTGCTCTGCCATAAACTATGTACCACTATGCAATTGACGGCTGTTGTTTACATATCGAATGCACTGTCATGTGATTGTAATTTGTTTTTATAAGCGGAGTAGGTGAAATATTAAAATACGTATACGTATTGCTTCACGTAAACATAAGCTAAAAGCAAAAAAAACTGGTTGTAAGTGAAAAATCAAATTTTTCTCTATGTCAGGAAACTACGTAAATGGTATACGTAAGTATGCGTACTTAAGTAAATGCATATAAAAACTTTTACGTTATTTTATGTGCCGAAAACCGGGTAAAATGTTAAAAAACTTATAAATAATATAGTATATTTATTATTATTATCGATTTTGCTTAGTTGAATATTATGTTATTGGTTATTATTTTTATTCGCTAATAGATTTGTATATACCATAAGGATAGTACCGCGTGACCCCATATTACTCTAAATAAAAATGAATATTTTGTTCAACTATCGTTTTCTAGGAATTAGGAACGCGTCGGGTCGTATTGTTTTGCTGTATTTATCAGATCAAGTTGTTTCTGTTGTCTCTTAGTAGTTTTTATTATCATGTTATCCTGACCTAACTCAATGACATGTCCAACTGACATTTGCTGGGAATAAGTACACATTTGTCACCGTGTTGGATTTCTATCTGTGTAGCATATTTTAGCTGCTATATATTAAGTTCCAGTACGGTAAATGCGTGACTCGCAGTTTTTTCGTTTGCTAATCCCCGTATAAACTTTTGTCAGTTACTGTAAATTGTCTCCTACCTTATAAAAGTGGATGTAATCAACTTCTGTATGAGAAATTATGTCTTTGCTTTAAAAATCGAACTTTTTTCCAAGTGACAGTAATCAGACTGCAGTAGCGTTAAACAATAACAATTCAAGAAAGTAATATCTGCTTTTCTACAACAATAACTGCGTTTCCATCTCGATCGAAAAGAGCCAATTATAAGAAATAAGAACACAATCATATGTTACCCAAATGATGATAATTAGATTGCAATAGCACAGCACACTTCCGTCTGAATACAAAATCAAGCAAGTAGCACGTGTTTTTCCACAGCATCAACTACACTCCCATCCATCTGATCTAAACTGCCGCACAGTAAGCATTCGTAAAATTCTACATCACATGCACCTCTAAAATCAATACTACTAACCCAGTGTGTACCGTCAGGGAGAGTAAAATCCAGTGCACCGTTTTGATGAGTAGTACCTTCAGCACAACGCGGACACCACAACTTAGCAGTGCGAAGACTTTTTGGATTTCGCTGCACTTTTAAATACTCTAGAATATTCAGAAGAGTATAATAATTTAACTCTCCCGGCACTTCCGCAGTTTCACAGTGAAGGCTTATGGCATCCATAATCAACGAATGTTGATAACCGGCATTAAGTGCTTTCCGAATCAGGGTTGTACGCGGGAGGTCTTTTGTCGGCTTATTTGCGGTCAGCAGTGGTTTTGGCTGGGTGCAAGGTGATGGTGGTGGTGGTATTGGTGGTGGTGATGATAAGGAGGTACTTTTGAAGGTGGCACATCAGAATAAGTAGGTGGAAGGTCATCGGATTTACACGGCATTACTGAAAGGAATTTCGAGGGTTTTTGTAGATTTTTTGGATGTTCTGCCACGTAGTGTTGTGTTAGGCGATTAATGGCATACAGGCACGTTGGTGACAACTTTAAATGTTCGATGAGAGGTACATCTTTCGACTCCCAGCGTTCTAACGATAGTCCACAGAAATAGCATATGACAATATCACCAAGGCCTTGAAAATAGAATCCCGCTTCACTCATGCTTACAGGCGTCAAAGAGTTCCACTTTTTTCGGCCAATCTCGGAAGCTTTTGAGGCGCTCATTGAGGTTTTCGTATTTTCGATGTTTAGGAATTAAATAGAACATGCTAGGCGTGAAAGATAAATCTGCCTCGTTCAGTATTTGTCGCATTTTTGCACAGTGCGGATACGTTTTGAGATGTGAATCCAGCTGATCATTCCTATTGGTAGTAGGTAGATCCACATTTTTGCAGAATCTGCAGATGTAAGCATCCTGAATATTAATTCCATAGAACCCTTTTGCAGCCAGCTCTTTACTGTTCATATATTCAGTATTAGTCCATAATAAGCGGTATGATGGTACATCATTACAACGTAAGGCATACGGACTTGGTAACATTCTTCGAAAGTCTATCACTGATGAAAAATCACCAACGAAACCATTCTTAAAAGTGTTCGTATATTTTAAATGGTAGCATATGAGAAAGCGATAATGATCACGTCTCATGCAGTATTTGTTTTCTAGTTGTGAAAGCAAAACCCATTAGTTAACGTAGTAGATCATCAAGGTTTCACATAATGAAATCAACTATCAAGATCAAAAGTCGTTTTGCCAAACGCAAGACATGAATTATCATAGGGTAATAATATCTTTCTCACGCTCGTAATCAGTGAAATTATCTTTTCCCACGAATAACATTTTACACGGATTGTTTCACAGCAAATCACATGCAAGGTTATCATCAACTTTTGCAATCGTTCCCACGTTTAACAGAATAAGGATATCATAGTACGAACTTGTACATGATGTAGAAAAACTTCCGTCGTCTGTAGATAGTGGATCAGAGTGACGCTCATAATCAGATTATCGTTACCTTTCTACAATCACTCATCAATATCGCAAGACCTATAAGTAGTACGAATTATTCACACAGTAATGCGATTGCGTGCTCAAAAAAATGACAGATAATTTGGTCTTACTCACGCAAGAATCCGCTGGAGGAACACAATATGAAGATCTTATGAAAAAATCTCCAGTGGCGGTTGTGGTAAGCGTAAGTGTATAAAGCGAAGCATTTAAAAATGTTTACATAGTACCGTTGTAAACTTAATGGATTCAAACAAAAACATCATGCTATTTCTGGTGCGGCATCATTTAGTAATTTTGTTGTTTGCTTGCATAATTTTACAATTTCTAACGTTACTACTAATGATGCACTTTGGTTCTACTGTACAAGATTTGTTAAAAACTGCAACCTTTATCAAACGAATGGCTATTAACCCCATAACAAAAGCTATTATGCAAACCCGTACCGTGGTCAACACAAGCACCAATCCGCTAAATAATTTTTTTGAAACAGTATTTCCTTTAATTTTTTCTGTGCCAAACATGGCGGACGAAAATACTCCTGGCACGGGATTCTTAACGACATCATCAACTTTAACACCTAATCAAACTGTCGTTTTCTAGCATACACCAGCGCGGATCATACTAAGCTTCAATGAATTCCGCGCTGACCAACCTCGTATTGACATAAGATTATTTACCGACGATCTACATCCAACCAAATGTGGATTTTTTTTTCCCCCAGATATCTGCCAGAAATTATTGCAGGAATGAAGATGTTAGCGGAAAATGTACCCAGCACAAAACCGAAAGGAAATTCCAAATCAAAAACGGCCTCAAAAACAAAGAAAAAGCGCCAGCGCTTCGAATCACGAAACAGAACCCTGTAAAGAAAAGCTATCAGCAACCAAAAAAGCGCATCTTAAAAAAAAGATAAAAAATTCAGATCTAGAAGAAGGTGAATGTGAAGATTCAGATATAAGCTCCTGCGAGGGCACAGATAATTGAAAAAATGTCACTGAATGAAATAAAATACTTCAACTTACCTTAGTTTAGTTTCGGTAATTACAAGTAATAAATGATATAAAAAGCTGGTTGCAACTATTTATTCATCTCCACAATATTCTAAAGAATTTGATAATACAAAAGAATGGCGTAAAATATACTACAAATCACCGGATTTAAGTTTCCATGTAAACAACTTTTTCAAAAAATTCCACGTTAAGTAAAGTGTTCATTAAGTTACTGCATAATCAACTTTGAACGCTTTTCACATTTACATTACTATGCATGTAATCCAGTTTTTATTAAATCGTTTATTTGTATTACTTGTAATCAGCTTTCTGTCAAACCGTTTGAAACATTGTACACTTAAACAACATGTAATCAACTTTTTTACGTACTCTGAAAATTGATGTAC